AGCAAAAGCAGGGGAGGGGCAGAGAAAGAGACAGAAACACAGAATCTGAAGCAGGCTCCAGGCTCTGAGCTGTCAGCACAGAGCCTGATGCAGGGCTCAAACCCACAAGCCAGGAGATCATGACATGAGCTGAAGTCTGACACTCAACCAACTGAGCCACCCAGGCACCCCTCCCTGGCCTCTTCTAACCACACGCCTTTCCACAGAGCAAGAAGTCCATGCGCCATGGGGATGTGCCCACCCAAAGCTTCTGCTCGTCACCCCTTCTTAGACAATATTGTGCGTACCTGAGACCCTAGAATTCTCTGTCCCAATAGCACAAGGCCAGCTTCTAGAGACTGTGTTGGCTTTTCCGTCCTTTGGAGGAGCCAAGGAACAGCTATTTGTAGGAGGTGTGGATGTGCAGACCCAGATATGATAGTGTGGGTACATGGCCCCTTGAAGTATGGGACAGAGCTGGAATGCAAAGAGTAGGAGGAGGAAGAGTAGGAGGAAGATTGAGGTCCAGGGACCGGTTACCACCTAAGGCACCCCATTCTAGTGCACATCTTGGAGGAGTCCAAGAATTCTAAACTTAAATTTGGCCTTCCAGATTATGATGAAGGTATACTTGTCACAATGAAAGGATATGAATTTTACATACCAGTTTAACTTGGTTTGTACGTTTTCAGTACATACACATATGGTATGTGGGCCTCCATTTGTGCCGTTGACCATGGCCCTGTAAATATTAGGGGTAGGCCCATCCCCGACCACGCTGTCTAAAATAAAATAGCACTTCCTCTGTCACTCTATTTCTACCCTAGTTCTTCATAGCATTTGTCACCATCACATCTACATTTACTTGTGTATCATCTCTCTATCCCTATCCTCACTAGAATGTAAGCCCATGACTGCAGAATCTCAGTTTTGTTTACTGTCTTATTCTTAGTACCTAGAGCAGTGTCTGGCACAAAGAAACCACTCAATAAATGTTAAATGAATAATGAGTCCAGTCCCAGATGGCTCACAGATGAGTGAGCTAGCCCACAAACACAAAGGAAAAAGATGATGTGTGACAACCCTCCCAGGAGCTCTCTCTCCCTGTAAAATAACTCAGTCTAGGGGCTACAAATGCGACCAGGGAAATAAATTAACCATTAACACCTTAGTACACACAGACACAAGATTAGTTAGAGCGTTACTTTTGAGAGGGACACTTGAGTACAGAGGGCTTCTAGTAGGCTGGGGAATTAGATGTGGGGGTCCAGTGGAGGAATCCCCTCATGACCTTACCAGGGTGGCCAGACCTGTGTGCTGAGGATACACTGATTCCACCGCAATGGCCACGCCAACCCAGCCCAGCTTAGTGTGGAGAGGGGGCTTCTCATCCATGACTAGAAAGCCCTCAAATACGGTTTCCCTTGGATGGTCACAGACCTCAGGGGTGTGGGCACATCTCATCCTTGTGGGGTCATGATGATCACAGACTCAGAGACCTCCCTCTTCTCTCTCACCTGCTTCTAACTCATGTCTTATTGCGTGGAGGGATCCCCAGAACTTTCTTGGTACAGCGTAAATCGATCCAATCCATTCCAATTTACTCCTTTTCCGTTAGATACGAGGCTCGTGAGAAGCCAAATGACCTCCTCGAGTCCCCAAGAGCGACCGGAACACCGGTCGGGGCCTCTGCAGGGCAAACGCCCCTCTCATGGAGGGCTGGAGTCGGGGGCTCCAGGGCCGGGGTTGCGCTCCCCGCCCCCTGCCGCCGAACACTCTAGCGCTGACTCCGAGGCCTCGGCGGACCACGGGGCGGGGAAAGAGGCGGGGCCGGGCCTAGGGGGCGGGGCCCCGTGGCTCCTCCCCCCGACGGACGCCGGAGGAGCGGCGGAGCGGCCGGGCGCCGACTCGTCCGAAACTGGTGCGCAGTGGTGGGCGCCGCCTCGGAGGATGGGCTGGTGCGGCCGCCGCTCAGGGCCGCCGCCGTCGCTGCTACTGCTGCTGCTGCTGGCGGTGGCCGGCGCCGGCGCGGCCCCGCGCTCCGCGCTCTACTCGTCCTCCGACCCGCTGACGCTGCTGCAGGCGGATACGGTACGCGGCGCCGTGCTGGGCTCCCGCAGCGCCTGGGCCGTGGAGTTCTTCGCCTCCTGGTGCGGCCACTGCATCGCCTTCGCCCCGACGTGGAAGGCGCTGGCCAACGACGTCAAAGGTGAGAGGCGGGCCGGAGGGCCTCTCGCGCCATTCCCCACCCCGGCCGACCCCCTCCACCTGTCGGGCCGAGAGCCTCTCCCACCGCCCCATCGCCTCGCCCACCTCTCTCTCTCGGCCGCTTTGCACTTCTCCTCGGTTTCCAGCCCTCGACTCCATTTTTGGCTCCCGCGCCTCCTCTCTCCCCTTGGCAGGTGTGCCGAGCTTCTCTCCCCTCCCGGCGGCCTGGGCCCTCGCACCTGCTCTGCTTTTCTGCCCGTCTTCTACCGGCTTACTGCCCCCATCCCTGCGCCGGGGTCCTTTGTTCCTCCGATTGCTAGGCTGACACCTTACCGCCTCTTCTACAGTCGCCTGTGGCAGTCCCCTTCCTCTCGCCCAGGGACCCGTCTCACCTTCCTACGGAGTTCTTCCGCTGCTGTGGGATCGGTACTAAGGACAAAAGGAACTGACATTCCGTCTGCCGCCCCAACAACCCCTTGGCTAGTTGACCCAGCTGCTACTTAGACTTCTTTTTTTAGCTCTACTTTGGAGACAGCGTTTTCCTGCCTGGGTTCCAGGCCTCTCCTGACCTGCTGCCTCCAGTTAATTAGCTTCTGGGCCACAGCCTTCTCTCTCTTCCCCTTGGCCATGAATCCTTCCACACCCTTTTGCTTTAACCAAAGGAACCCAGAGGCCCCACTGAAGACAGCCTCTCCGTATGTGTTTGGCCCTTGCTCCATGTTCTTGTTCTCTGGCCTGACCATATTTCCTTGATTCTAAGAGTCCCTCAATTGTGATACACACCATTCATTTACTGACAGCCTGAGGGGTAGAGAGATAACAAGACCACTAAATGTATACAGATTTAAGGGCGTGCTCTGTTGCAGAAATGGTAAATTTTTTAAAAACTTAAGACTAGAACTGAAAAAATATGGTCATAATAGTAATTAATATGTACTGAGTGCTTACTGTATGCCTGACACCTCCCTGGGTAAGTACATAACATGCACTATCTCGATTTCCTTTCCACAGTTTAAAGATCTCTGTGGGTTCACACGTCTGCCTCACCCAGGTAGTAGGTGTTTGGTGGGTGGGGTGGTAGTGATTGGCTTCTGATTTGCTGCCTCCGAATGGAGCTACTTCCTGATTGTGGTGCTAGGGCCCTCGCAGGGCCCCGGACTGGAAATGGTCACTGACTGAGGGCATCTTGGGGAATAGGCCTCTTTCTAGAAAGAGAACTGGAACCGTTGTTTCCTCGTTGTGCTGTTGGTATTTCTTGATAAACTCAGCCATTCGTGGCGGAACAGTGCATTTGTAGGTGTTGGTTTTCAAACCGAGGCCACCACTCACCTTGAGCAGCTTGTGTAGTGGCGACTGAAGTGGTGAGCTGGAAAGATGCATACACCTGTTAGCCATATGGTCCCAGAATGTTATTTTTGACAAAACCGATAAACTGTTTTACCTCCAGTGTACATGTGGACGTGTGTCTGCATGCCTCTCTGGTCCCATCACCGGAATGAGCCATTTCTCAGCAGCTCTTCACACCGTTTTGGTGATGTCAACACATCTGGTCAGGGCAGGAGGGAGGAAGAAGAATGTTGAACATGCAGCTGGAACACCTCAGGGGTCATTGAGGGCCTGAAAATCATAAAAATCCCCAGATCAGTTTCCATCTTGAGGCCGTGAGAGGTCTTTAATGGCTGCAGATGAACCCAACCTAGAAGATTCTTCTATCTTAAGAACGTTGGAGGGAAGGGTTAGCTTCCAGCTGACTCATATGTTTGGCCTCTTGTGACCCAGGGTTTTCCAATGAATTGCATAGTCAGACACTGACCCAGCTTACTCCTGGATGAGGGTTGCCACTTCCAAAAGGGGTCTTTCCCTAGTGCACAGAGGGACAGCCTCCCCCTAAAAAACACCAATCATAACTTAATCTGAGGAAGGAAAATGAAAGCCTTGAAGTCTGAGGAGATGAATCAGTCAGTGGGAAGTGGGAAATTGAGGTGGGAACCAGAGGTCTCTCATGAGCCACGGGGATGGGTCAGCCCCCTTAACAAGATCCTGTGGGAGGATAGCAGTGGCCGAATCTGGTGTCAGCCTGCAGTGATAGAGAATGCCCCTACTCCAGTCCAAGGGGGAGGCGCTGCTGGGAAGCCAGGGCTATTCTCACATCACCTCTGTATTCCCGAGGTTCCTTGAGAAAATGGTTGTGGGCCAGCAGAAGGCTCAGACACCATCATGGGCCTGTGGGAGTGTGGCCCCTGCCTTCTGCCAATGGGATGAGTATCTGGGGTAGAAGCAGTGAGAGTGTGGAAGGCCATGGGGGGAGAGAAAAAATTTGCAACCCGGCCCAGCTGGCCTCAGGCATTTCATCTGACTGGCTCGGGCTCATTTGTTCAGTGACTTGTAGGATAGGTTCTCTGGGGCAGTCATTGCCACGGACTAGCACACTGGCTTCGAAAGATCTGGCTCATCCCTTTCTATTCAGGAGCAGCTCTTATTGTGTCACCATATGTTTGGGAAATTGATTGCATTCATTTTAAGTCTTCATTACTCTTCACTGGCTAATCAATGAGTAAATATTTGTTGAGTGACCTCTGTGTGCAAAGCATTGTTTACATTGCAGTTTGGGTTTGGGAAGTGAGCTACACACAGCAGGAGAATTGGCCACAGTAAGAAGCTGTGTTTGAAAAGGGACAAAGGAGTGGCTCAGCCATTTCTTGTAGGAATTGAGGGAAGGGGGAAGTCACAGGAGGCTAATCTGGTCACCAAAGGCCATCGTTTAAGCAGTTTACATACTTGCCTTATGCCAGGCACTTTGCTAAGAGCCACTATTACATATAATCTTTATGAGAAAATATTGGAGCAGTCGATTGTATTTTGTTTTTAACAGATTGAGTAACTTGCCCAAGATAGTACAGATGCTGGAGGAGGTTCGTGAGCCCATCTCTCTCTCTCTCTCGAGCCCAGGCAGGTGGAGAAGTGGGTGAAGGAGGGAGGGTACAGGTGGGAAAATGGCCTCTGCAAAGCCATGGAGATGACATTTATAAGGCATGGATGTTTGAGTGATGCTGAACAGCATTGGTTTGCCTCTTTTTTTTTTTCCCCCCATGGTGTAGACCACCTCTCTTACTTGTACCCCTGTGATGCCTTAGGGCAGAGTCTGGCACAGGGTAGGAGCCTGCTGAACACTCATCCAGGCTGATGGCATGAGCCTCATGGGATTCCAAGTGAGAATGTAGTGATTGGGCCTTCTGCTGGTGCTGTGGCTCTTCTGGACTTAGACCTGGAGTGTCAGCCAGGTGTGAGGGCTAGGGAAGGCATTTGGTCTATCCCATGACCTCACTGCCCAGAAGTCTGCAACAAGGAGGCAGGGGTGTGGTGGAGACAGCATGGCACTGGCTAACTCCTTGTCAGGAGGACTCCTGGAGAGTTGGATAGGGGTCCAGTTCTGACCACTTGACTTGACTGGCTCTTGGTGGTTTGGGTGGGTCTGGCCTCTGCCTTAATAGTGGCTTGCTTAACACGCAAAGGACTAACGGCCATTTTTCTTGGCGAGAGTTTGCCATTAAGCGCTTGAACAGCTATTGGAGCTGGAAAGGAGAGGAGAGACCATGCACCCTGGCCCCCATTTGACCCGGGAGGCCCAGAAAGAAAACATGTGCAGCTCTTGGTGCTTTGGCCACTTATAGCCACAATCAAGACATGTGGCTCTGGGTCCATGCCCCTTCCTGGACTGGTGAGTGGGGGTGGGGATACTGCCTAGCACTCCAGAAGGAGCCCATGACCCCCCTTACTATGGGTGTCTCTTCACTCACCACCTCAGAGACCATAGCTGTCCTAGTTATGCTTGTGTCCCCATCCTTCCCTTCTACATTTGCTCATTTACTCTGTTAATAGAGAAATTACTTCGCCAGGGCAGTAATTGCACTAGGAAACTTTTTTCTCCCCAGGAGCGGGGCTGGTCTGATAACTGCTAATGTTAGGTGTTAGGTCTGCAGATTGCAGTGTTTAAGTCACCTGACACTTTAAAAAGCCTCCCTCGCCCAGTTCTCTTCCTCTTTGACAGGAGTGCACTTTACTTAAATGCAGCTTTGCATTACCAGTGGAGCACCCAGATAACAGCACCCTGTTCCTTGGACTGTTACTAGAATGATGAGTGTATCAAACCAGATCTTTATATGTCATTATGGCTCATTAAGGTATTGACATTGATATTCCTGAGAGACCTTCCTTAGCTGACACTCTCGGCACCTGACTGGCCTCAGCTTACCCCTCCACTTCCCCCTGTGGCTGAAGAGGTGCGGGTTCCATTTCATGGGGGAAAGAGAATCAAGGTATAAAGAGAAGGAGTCAAAGGCCTGCTCAGGAGCAAGGGGCTGAGAACTCCCAGGCATCACCTTTCCCCACTGTCTCCACTACTAACACCCCCCTCCACCCCACTCCCTGGGTTTTCTGGTTGCCAAGCCAACAGAGCAGCTCTCTGTTCTGTCTTGGGCCCTCTTGAGACCAGAAGAGAAGCTCAAATCCTGGGTTCAGATCCCAGATCTACCATTGATTCATGTGTGCCTTGGGCACAGTTCTCTGATCTTTGTCTCACAGTGGTAGTTGCACATTAACTAGATAAATTAGGCACACAATGATCTCTTCATAAACTCTGTACATGTGATATCATCATCTAAGAGGAGAGTCTATGAAAGCGACTGAATGTTTGAGTTAAAGAATTTATGCTATTTGAAGACAGCATTGTGTTTACGTTCTCTCAAGGTTGTGATCAGAGCCAAGAGCAAAACCAGAAGGGTGATATCCTCACCCTGGTGAGGTGGAAAGGGAAGGGAAGTGGGTTTGAGTCGGGTAGCCTTTGGACAACTTGGAGGCCTCAGTTGCTTGCCTCATTTGTAAAGTGGGGGGAGTGATGCTCCCCTCCAGTGGCCGTGGTGGAGACAGGGTGTGTCGTAGGCGCTCACTGAGCACCAGCTTTCTGTTCTCTCCCCTCCCTGTGCCTTCAGTCTTCGGGTCCCAGGGGCAGTGGACACTGACTCTGGTCCAATGGATGGTGGCCTGTACTTTTGGAGAAGAGGGGAGCTGTTGAGGCCTTCAGTGCTTGGTCACCCTACCGGGTGACTTTGTGAGACCCCCGCCAGGGGCCCTCACCGGTGGAAGGACACGGAAGTGCTTCTCTTTCATGTTCTTGTCTAATTGGCCTACTCCTTTGGGAGTAGCCAAGTCTCCCCACACAAGGTGAGCAGAGCCTGAGATGCAGAACAGAAGGCGCCAAGCCTTGAGTGTGCCAGACGGCCGCAGGAGGCGACCTGTGCTTCCCACTCTCCCTGGGACTCCCTTGGGCAAGGAAGGAGCCATAGGAGGGAGGCCTGAGGTGCTCTCGTCTGTGCTCCAGGACAAAACCCTGTACCTGGGCAGCTCTGCTCTCCTTCACAGGTGGCTGGCTTTAAGCTCACCCCCTGCCTGGGCCTGCTAGACTGAGGCAGAGAGCAGAGAGCAGTGGTTCCGGCCCTGGAGCCGCTGAGAGCCAGGGCTGATCCTGCAATGCCGTGTAATGCTGTCAGTGCTCACTGAGGACAGTGGGGAAGCTGGGCAGTGAGGTTGCACACATGAAGAAGCACTTGGGGCGGACTGGCTTGTGACTGTCACAGAGACACGAGCAGGGCCCTGAGTTTATTGCTCACACAGGCCCCTGTCAGCTGACTGATAGGCTTCCACTCAATTTCTGCCCTTCTGGCGAAGCCTGTGCTTGGTCCCCGGGGCTGGTCTCCCGTGTGTCCAAATCCCGTTAGAGCTCTGCGCCATGTGGCAGGCACCAGTCCATCGCCACCTCACGGCTGTGTGGCCTCACGTGTGTGTGTATCTTGCCCTCCAGCCGAAGCAGCCTCAGTGTAATGTGGAACCTTAGCAGGGGGACCCGACCTGGAACCAGAGCTCGGGGGGCCTGCCTGGTAGAGGAGTTTGTTTGCTGTTTCACAGATCCTGGGCTATGGCCCAGAATGGGGCCATTATTTTCTCTGCCGGTGAGTTTGAGCGGAGGGGGGACTTGCAGCCTGGGGCCTGTTGAAAGAGCAGGGTGCCCAGGCAGCTTGGGAGCTGTTAACCTTTCCAAACTCTGGCCTCAGGCTTCTTTTCCTGCGGTTCCTGGACTCCAGGTCCCTTTCCCTCCCTCCCCTGGGTTTCCTGCCTCCCTGTCCAGCGGGGGAGCTGGTCCTCACCACCCCATGTGCCGCCCATGCAAGCCAAGCTGGGCCGACAGCCAGGACCTCTGGCCGCAGAAGCCTTCACTCAGCGTCCACTGGGGAATTCTAAAGCTCCTGAGGCATGTTCTTCGCCCTTCTGGAATGGATGCTCTCTAGAGGGCAGCAGGGACAGAGGCAGTGCCAGGGCTTGGTCCCAGGGCGTTCAAGATCATCTCACATTTTTTGTCATCCCCCGCAGCCTCTGTGCCCCTCCCCCACCGCAGAAAACGGAGGAACACAGATACCATTACAGGACAGTGTTGCCTGTGCTGTTTAACCATGTCCTAAGCACGGGCCAAGTGCAGGATAACCAGACTATTTCAGAGACCCCTCCTGGGGAAGGGGTGACCTTTTCTCATGAGAGCCTTAGGGGCAGGTACTCTGGGCGTTGGTGAGGGTGGAATGTTGCACTTTGGGGGTAAGCAGGCGGAGGTCCCGGTCCCTCTTACTTCACCTGATTTCTTTGCTTCCCCTTGCAGACTGGAGGCCAGCACTGAATCTCGCCGCGCTGGACTGTGCTGAGGAGACCAACAGCGAAGTCTGCAGAGACTTCAACATCCCTGGCTTCCCGACCGTGAGGGTGCGTGACAGGGAGGGGAGAGAGGGCATGGCACTGGCAGTGCATGTTGCCCACTGCTGCCCCGTGCTGCCCTGGCATCTGAGCTCCTTGGTGGCCTCTGATGCCTCTGGCCTCGATCCGCTTAAGTCATGGCCTCTGGAGCACTGTTCCTGTGCTTGATGAGACACTTGTCGTAGAGGCGGAAAGGGATGTGAATCGGGAGGTTCGTTTCGTCTGGCCAGTTCTTCCCTTTATAAGGAGGGGAGGGGCCGATTTCAGCTGCTCTGATTTGAGGCTGTGAGGTAGTTATCATCGCCTAGGCTGGTGAGAACCCTCAGCCCCAGGGATCCTCTTTCCAATTCCTCTCCCTCCCGACCTCCCAGTCTTAGAGGTCTGATCCAACACTGTAAAACCCGATTCAGGCTCTGACCCACCCATGGGCAGGATCAGACTCAGGGGGCCTGATGATCCTCTAGAAAATACCAGCAAGCTTCATCCTCATCAGGCAAGTGCCTTGAGACAAGTAGCTCAGAAGTGACCTGCCCGGGTAGCCTCACCCCCTGGTCAAATGCTGATGCCTCAGGCAGCAGGGGTCCCCATCATGGGAGCCATCACACCCAGCACATGAGGGCTCTGTCACCCCAGCTCTGGCTGAAAGTAGTGTGAGCTCTCCAGTGAGGCCTTGCCTGGCAACCTGCCCACTGTGGGGCAGCAGCAGCTTAATTAACATCTGAACAACTTCCAAGGCTCTCAAGTAGGAGGTTCTGGAAAGCCCAGAACAGCAAGGTTGTGCCGTTATACTTAGTGCCCAGGGCTCAGCCCCAGCTGTAATCCAATTAGTTTGCTTCCAATTTAAAGAATCAGAATCTCTCTCCCTACCTCCAGCTATAAATAGTAAGCCTCCTTCTACCAGAATGGCATCTAGAAAAGCATTTCTTCTATAACCACTAAGAATAATCAGGAAAGGCCTCTGAAGGTTAAAATGCTAAGCATTGTCCTTAGAACAAGATATCTGAACACAAGGGCCTCAAGTTGCAGGCCGACCCACCAGCCATATCTCAGCCTAATGATTCCAAGAGAATTTGTCTGGAAAACAAGGCTCCGGACTCCAGCAAGAATGTCCAGCTCGACCTCCATGTGACTTTTCTGTTCCTCACACCCATTGGAATCCTGCTAGGTTCAGGGTTTCCACAGCCCCAGCGAGCTCCCTCCTACACTCTTGTTACCACTTGGGGTCAGGCCTAAACCCCAGGTGTAGCTGAGGCTAGGCCTGTCTGGGGAACAGCGTGGTGAGCCAACACCTCCTGCCATATCATTTAGAGGTGGCAGTAAAGAGATTGCCTATCAGTCATCCCTTTCAAGTTAAAGACCTCCCTGGGAGGGCCACTGCTTTATCCTTGTCCTGAAATATGTAACTGAAAATACTCAGAATTACTGTACAGGGATCTCTGTTCCTTTTGCGGAGCCAGGGTAAGCAGCCCAGTGTGGAAAGCTGTGGGAAGACCACCGTGGCTGGAAGAGTCCTCATTCACAGGCTGACACTTCTGTCAGTGAATACTGGCCACAGGGGTCCAGCCCCTGCTCAGCCCCTGGGAAGAGGATTGGCATCGGTGCCAGGGCCGCGTCAGGACGTCCTGGCAGGGTTCTGTGGGACCTGGCACCTGGGGCTTTGTGTTTCTGCCTGGGAGAGGCTGGGGCTCAGTGGGTGTGAGGGAGGCGGCTCAGGCAGTCGGGAGGTCCCCCATAGCTCCCAGCGCCTGGCCTGCCTGTGTCACGCAGCACACGCAGCCCAAATACCTCAAGAGATTAATCATCTCCTGCACCGCCCAGCTGGCTGTGGGAGGGGAGCTGGGAGAGAAGGCCCCACGCTGGTCATCTTGACCTTTCCCAGCCTTCACACGAGCAGTGCCTGGCTGGGCCTGGCAGTTCAGTTTCAGCAGGGAGAGACACTCAGTGTCCTGTCGTCAGGACTCTGGCCCTGGGGCGGGGGGCAGGTGGTTCTAGCTTCTGATGGGTCTCTGCTCTAAGGCACTGGCTTTCAAACCTTTTTACTGTAACCTACAGTAAGATATATACATTTTCCAGTGACATCCAGAAGTTGATTTGTATGTGATCACTAAACCAAAAGTTTCATAGAACAGTATTTATTCTTCCTAAATGCAGTGCATGCTACTATTTTTGTTCCATTTATTATTTTTTTTAACTCCTAGCTGTGATTTGCTAAACTGATGTTCCATCTTACTACTACGCTGCTTCAAAATTTTGGAAAATTCGAGATCTCCAGAAATTCTAGCCCATTCAGAGCCCACCAGACATCGTGTCTGGACTCCCTAGAGAGCAGAGCAGAGGCTAGAGGTCAGCCTGGCTGCCAGCAGGCCAGAGAGATAGCCCTGATGCCCTGTCTGCTGCCCCCCCTGGGGCTGGACCTGTCCACACTCCTGCCTCTAGAGCCTGTGAGAACTCCTGTCGCACAGGGCAAGGGAGAGTGTTGCTAGTGTGATGGAGGCAGACCCACACAAGAGTCTGGCCACCCCCAGTTACATGTATCATTGTCCCTTTCTTCTGCCTCCTACCCCTTTTGTCACCATTAGCAAACAGCTTCCACTAGCCCAGCCTGTGTAGCAAACATCTGGCCCTGCAGGGCCAGCTGGCTGTGTCAGGTGCCCGTCAGACTGGAGCTGGAGCCCAGCTGGAAGAAAACAAAGGTGTGGGGGAGGGAGGGACTAGTTGGCAACAGGTTCTGGCTGGCACTTGGAGACCTAGAGGCTGGATCTAGTGGGGAGGGGCTCTGCCACGGGCCACGGTAGTGCTGTCAGGGGATATTCCATCAGGACCCCTTGTAGCCAGAGGCCCAGCTGGGGCAAGATCACAGAGAGCATCAGCATTGGGGTGGAAGAGGACGGAAGTCTCCCCTTTGCAAGATTCTGAGGAGATACTTCACGTGGGTTCAGATCCTGGTTCCACTGCTTACTATCTATGACTCAGAAAGTTGTTTAACCGTGCCTCAGCAACAGGCCTCATTTTCCTTGTCTGTAAAAACTGGGATGCTAATATCTCCACCTAATAGGACTGTGGCCGAGTGTGAAGTGAGGTCTTACACGTGAGAGTGCCACAGCATTGTGGAGTATCACGTGGAGTTCAGTAAATGTTACTTGGCTTCCTTCCCATTGTCTGGCCTGCTTCCTAAATCATCCCGTGGAGCTCACGATGGCTCCTCTGTGGGCACTGCATTTAAGGCAGTCCTTCCATCAGCAGCCCTTGAGTGAATGTTTGCCGGGCGCACTGCGCTGTGCTCACCATTGTGGGGGAGACACAGAGAGCTCAGCAGCTAGGTAGTGGGCAGTGAGCGCCAGAGGAATCGCCTGGGCTCCCTGAGCCCTCTCCCTAACACATCAGAGAGGTTTCACGGAAGAAGGGGACTTCCACTTGGTATTGAAGGACGTATGGGCTTTGGCTGGGAGAAGAGGAATGCGGGCAGAGGAGGAGGTAAGAGCAGAGGCCCTGTGTGGGCAGAACCGTGTGACATGTTGAGAAGACTGGTCTGGCTGGAGCAGAGGCTCCTGGGCAGGGCTGAGGCACGGTGGTGGGGCCCAGGAATGGCAGGTCCCTGAGTTCAAGGCTGGGAGTGTGGACAGCCTGTAGGGGCACAGAGGCTGGGCTGTTACCTTATGTGGCACTTGCAAGAGGGTGGGGTGTCAGGGAGGGGGACTCCTGGCTCTCTCAGGAAGAAGGATATGAGCCCCCAGTCAGCAGTCACCTGCTCTCTTGTGGCCCCCTCCACAGTCAGGCCCCAACATAGCAATGGTTAGGCATATGGATCCTCCTGGGATCACCGTAAGATATTTGGAGACCGGGTCATTTTCCTTGAAACTTGCCTTAAAAGCTTGGATCCAATGTTATCGATGGTCACCACTGGAAAGTGTGCTTTCCATTCGGCCTTATTTGACCCCTAGAAAGGCAGTTACTCTTGATATTGGTGTTGCTTCTTCACAGATTGGTAAAGACCCACCTGCTGCCCCTTGGTCTCCTGCCTTTGGGGAGATGTGGAGGTCTTCCAGGGGCGCAGAGTTGGGGAAGGGTCCTGCGTGAAGTGGCGGGAGGAAAGGGACCGGGTGCCGACTGCTCCTGGAAAAAAGAAAACTCACTGCTGACATCTTAATTACCTGTTTCCAAGAGTTGTGGTGGTTTCCCTTGGGGAGGGCACACGCCTCCTCCAACAGCTGACTTAAGAAGGATGCATTTTAATAGGAGGACAAAAATGTGCCCTGACTAGATTTTAATATGATTTTCACATGAGCATCTAAGATGATCAAAGGGCAGAGGTTCTCTGCTCAGCTGAACAGATGCCTTCTGGGAACTTCCATGTTCTCACCGTGGGGCTTGCAGAGGTGCCAGAGTACAGTCCTCTACAGTCCAGAGAAAGTTCAGTTTCAGGCCTGTCATAGCTGAAGTGTAGGGAAAGGGGACAGCGGGGGTAAGTTGGGGTCAGGTCCTAGAAGGCCTCGGACCCAGTGAGTTTAGCCATTATTCGTTGGTAGTGGGGAGTCAGGGGAGAGATTTGCGGGAGAATGACATGATCAGACCGGAACTGTGCCACTAAGCACAGGGGGGCAACGAGGAACAGAGTTGGAGAATGCAAAAATTGAGTGGATGAAAATGTCTGAGCTCACAGAGGGACAGGTGACAACTGTTGCATCAGGCCAGGAAATAGGTGGTAAGCCCTGGTCTGGACAAGGGCAACTGGCCCAGACGACCGGTGAAGAATCACAAAGGTCACATTCATGGAACTTGTCCACTGACTGGCTGATGGGGTTAAGGGGGAGGACGAGGTGCTGGTCTGGATAATGGGGGGAGAAGGATGAGCATGGGGTGAAATAAGCAACATAAATGGAGAAACAAGTTGGGGGAGGGGTGACTTAGAGAGTTGGGGGAGGGGTAGCACCTGGGTGGAGGGCACCAGGAGGAAACGGAAGTCTAGGACAGGTGAGGACCTGGACAGAGGGTTCAGATTGCAAATCATTTAGACCAAGTAGTTGACATTGGCAAGGGAGGCAAACAGTAGGCTTATTCACTCATTCATTTGCTCCTTTGTCCAAAAGCATGGATTAACCTCCTTGTTTTTGACGATGCCTCCCAGGGCTTTTTATAAAAAAAAA